GATGGGATCCTGGACTCAAAAGCAGGATTAACAGTGAGGACTACAGGAGGTTCAGGGAGGGCTGGGGGCGGGAACTGCACAGTGAGGTCGGGGATACACCATGCAGATTGAACTGCATCCCGAAACCCATGCTGGGCTTCACAGAAGACTGGGAGCCTGCCCTTCAGAGAGGACAGGTAGAGGGAGAGCCCTAGCCATAAAGGGCCTGGCTGAAATGCCTCCAGCACCTTGTGGGGGGACCATGATGGCCTCAGTCACACCCTTCCCGTTTCCTGTTCTCTTCACCATGAGCACAATATGTTTGTTCTCACTACCAGGTGCATTTTTATTACATTTATTTCTTTATGGGGGGTGCATGTATGCTATGGCTCACATGTGGAGGTCAGTAGATAATCTGAAAGAATTGTGATGTGGGAGGTCCTTCTGAATATTGCTGCTTTTATTGGTTGATGAATAAAGCTGTTTCAGCCAATGGCTAAGCAGAGTAAAGCTAGGCGGGAAGTTCAAAGATACAGAGAGAGTTGGCAGAGTCGAGTAGATGCCATGGAGCCGCAGAAGGAGTAACATGCTGCACCCATGAGCCACAGCCTCGTGGCAGTACACAGACTAATAGAAACGGGCTAACTTAATCGTTAGAGCTAGCCAGTAAGAAGCTCAAGACACTGGCTGCACAACTGTAACTGATAATAAGCCTCACAGTGGTATTTCATAAGTGGGTGTGGGAACTGGCAAGTGGGACACGGTGGCGGGAGAGAAACTGGTCCAGTGCCACCAGACAGGACAGAGAAAAGCCTTCCATCCACAGAATTGGTTCTCTCTCTCCACCATGTGGTTGTCAGGGAGGGAACTCGGGTCCTCAGCCTTGGTGGCAAGAGTCTTTACCCAATGAGACATCTTGCTGGCCCTATGGTATATTATAAACTCTTCTCACCAACTATAAATTTTACAATTGTTCGTATCAAAAATTATGGAAGAGGAATATAAAAAGCAAGGGTTTCTCAAAAGAACTTATCAGCCATACAACAAAACAGAGTTCCTAAAACTGTTTTGCAGTGAAATTGTATTACTGTCAAGCAAGCCCCAGGAGTTTGCTCTAGGAACTGCCTTGTGTGGAGCAAGAGACAGATGTTCACGTCTTCTCTTACCATTGTGCACACAGTTCTTTTAGAGAGACATTCAAGGGAGCGAGGTTCAGTGACTTGAGCCTGTAGTGCCAACACTTGGGAGTCTAGGGTAGGGGAATCCTAAGCTCAAGGCCAGCATGAATGGGCCTCAAAGAGAGTCCTTTTCTCACATGAGAATGTCTGGAGTGCGAAGGAGACATATTACTGACAGAGCAAAGGCAGCAGAATCTAGGCTGGAGCCCTGACAAGTACAGAGGAAGAAACATCTGGGCAAAGCCAAGTCAGGTGGACTAGAAGAGACTCAGCCAAGCTGGAGCCAGAGGAAGCATCACTCGCCAAGGAAGGGGGGGGGGGGGCAGACAAGGACGCCATGCCTCACACAGGACTGATTGGTTCCCATGAGTTTAGAGTTAAAGATGTCATCAGGAAGCTCAGCAAGAGGGGAGGGGTGGAGCAGACGTGATGAAGGGGGGGGGATGGGAAGTGGAGAGTGGGGCGGATAATGGTGCACACCACAGTGATTCTCAGGTCATCCAGAAAAAGAGAAGTCAAAAGGCTCTGCATTTGACCTTGCTGGTTCAAATCCCAGCTCTGCTACTGAGGAGCAGTGTGAACTTGAGCAAGCTTTCAAATTCCTCAAGTTCCTAGTCATTCACCTAACAGTATGTGTGTGTGTGTGTGTGTGTGTGTGTGTGTGTGTGTGTGTGTGTAACAGGTGTCTGTACAGAAAGAATGAAACAAAAAACTGATGCTTTATAGTCCTTAACTTAGTCACCTACAAAATATTAGAGGGCAGAGGACACGCAGAGCTTGGGGACTCGAAAAAGCCTGATGCAGAGTGATAAGGGTTTAACCCATTATAAAGCAGAGTATAATTCAGTGCTTGCTGTTCGCACTATGAGGCAGGCTGAGGCAGGAGGATCAATGAGCCCTGGAACTGGAGGCCAAAGCAACATGGACAGGCCCATTTCAGAAAACCGAAACAATGATCTAGGGGATTTCTTATCTGCTCCTACTTTGATATGTGTTTACTATTAATTTCTCCTCATAATCAGCAGGCCAATTTTAAAGCTTTTTCTCTACATCTAACAACATAATCAAACCCCCTACTGTGTGTGTGTGTGTGTGTTTAGCTGATTCATCAATTCAGTATTGCTGGCAACTTTCCTTTGCTCATGTATGACACAGAAGACACAATAATCATATAAAACAGAACCAACCATGTTGACTGTCCCTGGAGACATGTTGTCTGTAGAATTATACAACGGTTATTACTATGGCCAAAGTTAAAAACAATGATCTGCTGAGGGACAATGGTCTTGCACCCTGTAAAGATTTGTCAGTTGTATTGGTTTAATAAAATGCAGGAAGTATAGGCGGGATGACCAGAATAGGAGAATTCTGGGAAGAGGAACGGCTTAGTCTGCAATCATCACACAGATGCAGAAGAAGCAATGAGAATGCCTCACTGACAAATGTACCTAGCCACTTGTCTGTGGGTAACACAGACAAGAATTATGGATTAAGATATAAGAGTTAGTTAATAAGAAACCTAGACTAATAGAACAACTAGTTTATAATTAATGCAGGCCTCCGTGTATTTCCTTGGGACTTAACGGCTGTGGAACCAGGTGGGACAGAAACCTCTGTGAACAAGGATCTCTAGGTTACAGTCTCCCTCTCCTGATGGAGACAGTTGTTGGCGCACATGTCATTACTAGGCACTCTTATTCACTGTGACTCTTGTTTGCACAACTACCTTAAAATTAATTATGCATTTTGATTGTACAAGTAAAATAACCTCAAGAAATCTGAAATTACTTAAAAGTTCAGATTTCCACGTGAACAACACTGTGACGTAGTTACAAGTCTTTGAGTTCTTTTGGAGATAAGCCTTGTTAAACAATACGCCTGAACATGTGGAAAATAACAGAACACTTAATAAGCACAAGCCTAGCTATGCCCCACTGGACTAGATGAGAACAGTAATTTCCGTCAGCCCTACCATCAGATTCGCTCTCTATGGCTGATATGGATTTCCTGAGTATTGGCCACCACATTCTGACACAGGAAGCTCTTTGCATCTCTGCGTCCCAACGCAGTTGAGCCCCTGTCCAGGGACACTGAGACAAGTCATCTGAATGAATAAGAAGCTTACACATTTTATTCTGGCCTAAAATAAGGAAAAATATTGGTGAATAATTAGAAACAATAAAATGAAATAAAAGCAACAAAGAAAAGAAAGACCAGATATATATGGTACGAGACACTGCTGCAGATCAGGAGACTGGGCCCGTGCAGACAGTACTAGTGTAGTACCTACATGTCAGGCAAGCATTTCAATTTTTTTCTCTGCAGTTTTTATAGGAAGGCTTGTCTGCTGTGACCAATGTCAAATACCCAGATTTTCTAAGAAATAAGATAAAATTTCAAGCTGAAGCACCTTTGCTGCGCTCCAGAAAATAAACCTGTAAAACAAAAAATCCTTCAAAAATCTTATTTTTAAAATTTCTATAGATCTGCAAAAGTAAAAAAAGGAATCTAAAAGACTCTGAAGACCCGGCTCAGCTCACTGGGAAAAGGCTCCTATAAGTGGAATTTAGGGCTGCAAAAGCAATGTGGGCACTGTGAACACAAGCCACACCCAGCCAGCGGGGTAGCAGAGATGCCGCTCCCCTCATCTCATCTTTTTACTGAATAAATACAGTGGATTCAGGAGGTAAGTTCACAGGTTTATTAGGTCTGCAGTGAATATTCTGAATGCAGCTGGGAATTAAATACAAAACCAAAGATTTAGAAGATGATGATCATGTGTTTAATCCTGTAAATACTGAGTTGACTCTATTCAGAATTATGATATTTAGTAACTTCTGACGTGAAATATCAAAACACATTAAGTTTTTAACAGATAAATTTAGAGCATTCATGTATTAGTTTATAATTTCTTTTTCATTGTGATGTATAATCTTGGTGAGTTTATAGGCTCAGAACAGCTCTGATGGGGTGGTCATCTCACCTCATTAGCGTAACTAAAGCTGGGAGGACACTGAATGGCCAACAGAGAAAGCTGGGAAAACAGTGGGAGCAACTGGTGATCTGATAGTGAGGACACAGAACAGGGCGGAGTCCAGTGAGAGGAGCCAAGCTGCTCTCAGGCTCCCACCGACCTCACTTTGCAATGGCACCTACTCTCCTCTACCCACAGAGGCCTGCTGCAGAAGGAGCTGGGCCAGGCTAGTGTGTGGCTCCTATTCACTTCCATGAGGTAAAAACAACTTTCCCAGGGTTGTGCTAAGCCACGGCAGCTCTCGCTTCTCCTTGCTGCTCCTCTGGTCTCCACACAACCCAGGCCTTCAGAACTCAGCTCAGGCCCTACCTCCTACAGAGATTCCCTTTGCTCTGCTCCTGCACACTCTCTCCCTAAACATGGGTGCAGCAGATATCCTGCATGGACTGAAACCCACTCTGCCATGACTCAGCTGTTTACAGGCCTTTGCGAACAGTGGGCTCCTTCTAGAAGAGGCAATGATGAGACCACTGGGGCGGGCATCAAGCAGGGACTATCAGTCCAAGACAGCACTGTTTAACAGTGGTCATATCCATTTAGTTCCCAAATGGGTCAACAATGACGCAGCATGCCAGAAAACCTTGCTCCAGGACTAAGGCGAATTTAGGAACCATCACTGCTACCCCAAACTCTGGGTTCTCTGTAGTTTCCTACACCAAAAGTCTAATCTTAACCACAGCCTACGTGATGCCCACATGTGCTCAGGTTACTCCATGGTGTTTGATTAGAACAACAAAGCCTTACTGTGAAGCCTAGGGACCGGGGCTGGGGGTGGGGAAACGGCATGATAAACCAGACAGGCCACACACCTTGAGTCCAAAGGCTGCATCCTCCGAGGCCAATACTTCAACCTGCAATCATAAGGAGAGACATCATTTAGGGACTATCAAGAACCCCTCTTGGGTGCAGCCCTAGAAGCTGGCTCTGGGAAGAAGCTCAGCAGGGATCCTGTTCACAGGGCCAGCGGGCTTCCCTGAGAGGGAGGGCCCACCTTCCCCGTGCATGCAGCAGGGCTCTCACCACAGCCGCTGGGGCGCTTTGAGCTTTGTTTAGGCTTGTTACTGATGGACAGGAGATGAGGGGAAGTCATGCTCAGATAAGCAGTCACTATGCTGGCTGCCTCCTTGCCCTGGCTGCGAGTAGCTTCTTGTCCTGCTCACATAGGAGTGGGCAGAGCAAATCTCTGGAATGCTGCAGAGCAGGAGTTCCTGAAAGCAGTGCTCTGGGAAAGGCAGGCAGAGTCTAGGCAACTTCAAAACTGGCTGTCAGTCTTATGCAGCAGACGACAGAGCTCATTAACATGAATTTAAAAGCTGCATGGAACGAGACATGTATTGATAATTACTGTTTTTTAAACATAATTATCCAGTCTGGTGTATTAAGTTTGGCTACTACAAAGAACCAATGTGGAGGAAGGAACAAGGAAAGAAGTTGACAGCCTGAGTGTTGGGCACCTGGTGAGGCTGTGGGGGAGGGGCTGGTATGGACACCAAGGAAGACTACCCTGCAGACTGCATCCAGCATGAAACCGAAAGGGTTAAAGAGGAAGCACTGATGAAGATCAGGGCCCTGCCTCCAGCAGAGATGGAAGGCTGGATGCAGGGCTGGAATGAGAACCTCCCTTCCCCAAGCAGAGATGGAAGGCTGGATGCAGGGCTGGGATGAGAACCACCTCCCCCAGCAGACTGGATGCAGCCCTGAGATGAGCAGCTACACTGTGAAAAACATATGTTTCTGATATCAAATATGATTTTAGGCTAAAGACTGAGATGTTGGATCAACTAGAGTAGAAAATCATGGTAAGGCCTACTTACACCATTTCTGTTTACACTCGTTTCCAAAACTAACTGTAGATTTAGAAAGAAGCCTTAGTATAGACTTTAGCTTAGGATTCCCCTACCCATGCACAAAAGACAGCTTGTATCTTCGAATTTCCTGAGTCCTGCCTTCTACAACAACAGGCTACTGCCCTCAAATATTTTTAAAATTACAACTCCTACTTAATGCTGTATGTAGACTTCAGCTATGAACCTTTGGGAGAAAACACAGCCAAACTCAACTACCGTGGGCCTTCTGTGACAAGAGCTGGTGAGCGGTACACAGAGGTCCTGTCTGCTGTCTTGTCACTCAGTGAGGATATGCAGCCCTGATGTGGGCTATCTTCACACACATACAATTATTGCTGAGCATATTAAAGTTGAGATTGGTATCTATAGTGCGAGTTCTGCATATTTTAACAGATTTTAAAAGTCAAGTAGCAAAAAAAAAATCAGTAGCAAATAGAAATCTATTTAAAGCTAAGGCTTTACTATATTTGACACGGGAGGCGAGAGCAGTGCTTTCTGTGGAATCCAGAGCTCCGCATGTGACTGTGAGCACAGGCTGGCTGCAGCCGCAGCCCTGCTTCTCTCTCTAGCAGGCTGAAGGGCGTTTCAAACCTCTTAGTAGACTTTTAAACGCCTTTCACTTAGAGAACTCCACAAACTGCTTTCTTCCCATACCATGATTTTAAAATATGTATCCTGGCTTACTGCCCTAAAACTCCCTGTTCTGTAAGGTCCTAGGGGTAAAGCACAGAAAAAAAAAAAAAAAAAACCCGACTGGAAAACCACGAGATTGCTAAAGTTTACTGTGGAGGAAACAGCAGTGTCCTAGGCAGGCTCTCAGGCTGGTCTCAGAGCGTCTGTCTGTTGGAAGAAGACCCTCTAGTGGGAGCAGCAGAGTATTTCAAGCTCACACCATTTCGGGTCAGCAAATGTCCGGGAACCAGCCATGCTATGTGCTGCTTCTGCCGTGAGCTCGAAAATAAGAGAAAAGTTGATAACCATTTTGTCTCCCATTATCCAGAATTAGAAATTATCTACATACAAGCTGAAGTACCTTTGTATTGACCTAATAGATGGCTTTATCTTTAGACAACTGATATCCTATTTAACTGGGCTATGAAGCAATCCCAACTCTAAGTTAAAGCAAAAATGTGTAACTTGAAAAATAAAGTATGCTTTCAGTAGAAAGACCTGACCAAACTAGAAAGGTGTGCATTGATATCTAAATATTGATTTTTCCTACTGGCTCGACTCTGCATTAAAACCCTCAAAAGAAACACCTTCCCACAGTCATCGACAAAGCCTTTCCGGGCATTTAATCCATGCAAAGCTTGCACTTAGTATCTCTAGACAAAGTGGAGAGCTTCATGCAAATGCCTGAGTGAAATGTATTTAGCATCCTTATACATTTGTTTTAAAACTTCAGAATCAAAGAGGACAAACAGATTACCTTTGCTGCCATTCTTTTTCTGAGTTCGGTTTGCAGAGGGTTAAATTAGTGGCATTTAAATCACCTATAAGAATGCCACACAGGCTTTACTAAAGGAGATTAGGGGGCAGTGGCTGATGTCCTCTTCCACAGAGGAATGAAGTCGACCTTCAGTGAGGCAGAGAGGCTTCAGACAACAACGTGTCTGGAGACACAGCTCAAGGGTTAACACAAGCTGGGTTCAATCCTCAGCACCCACATGGAGGCCCACACTGTCTGCAATTCCAGTTTTCAAGGAAATCTGATCCCCTCTGAAGGCACCGGCGTGTATATGATACACAGAGAAAATGCAGGCAGAAGACCCAAGCACATTACTAGCAAGGGAGGGAGGGAGGGAGGGAGGGAGGGAGGGAGGGAGGGAGGGAGGGAGGGAAGGAAGGAAGGAGGATAACAAAACCTAAGCTCCCAGGCTGCAAAGCTGAGGCCCTGTCACACCGGTTTCAAATGAGCACAGTCAACACTGGCTGACACATGTGCCTACAAAGATTCCATCTAGAGAACTTCAAAGCACAGCCAAGTCAGCATTTAGTAGCCAAGCCCTTGACCGTGACCCTCTCAGTTGCTCTACCAGCCAATCCAACAAAAACCACACAACTACAAGTGACTATCTGCCCAGGACCGAGGATGCTAACACACGAATTAAGAAACAGAATTCATCAGAAGGTTTTTTCTCACTTTCAAAGTCCTTCACACTTTCTCACGAAAGGCACCTAGAGAAGGAACAAAAATAACTCAGAGCCAGAGATGGCTCAGCAGGTTAAACACTTGCAGCCAAGCTTAAGACCCAAGTTTGATCCCCAGAACCCATGTAGAGGAAGGAGAAAACTAATTCCTGTGGGCTGTCCTCTGATTCCCAAACATAAGCCCTCCCCACTCACAGAGTAATAAATAAATCAATTTAAAAAATAAAAAAGAATTCAATAATAAAAACAGTTAAGGAAAACCTAGTTGTGCAAATAACATAAGTTTTCTGTCATGTTCTGTCAACGCCCCCAGAAGAAACAAGACCAGAGTAGCATATGTATACGAGCAATGGCTGGGTCATCTGTGTGCTGTATCCAACACCCCCGGGAATTGGGGGTGGCATCCATAACTGCCTTCAGGCACAGCAACTTCTTCTTCATTGTGTATTGTCTTACAATGAAGACTTATTTATTTACTGCAGCAGATCTTGTTTAATTAAAAGTAATTGGATAAAATAAGACAATGACATTAGCAGTCACCGGATATCACTAATAATCCAATGAATGGCGTTGGAGCAGCCAGCACTCGTACGTGTGGAGTAGATTCCTGAACACTTGGAGGTGGGTAGAAAACAAACAGTCCCTACAACAGCAACAAAAACAAAACTCAAGAGCTTACAACTGCACAGTGTAGTATCTTCAAGCATAGCCACACCCATCTGGAAATCTGTCTGTCAGAGATGTCCGTTTACGGAAAGAATTTGTGACACACTGCTTACCTATTGAGCATGGAAACTGCATCATTAGTTAATGTAATATCAATTAGAAAACGCAAACAAAATGAGATGTCGTTATATAGAGAACGGCATGTTTACACTAGACAGTACTACAAAACTGAGAAACCCCATTTTCAAGAACTCTAACACGGAGAAATGCATTCACTGAGTGAACTTCGAAACAGGGTTGAAATAAGAACCCAAACACTTTAGATTTCCTCCACACCTTGTGGGACTTGTGTCACACCAGAAAGTCTCTCCTTCGAGTTTCAAACTGTTTAACGCATGTTTTCTCTTAATGTTTGACTTTACTTTTTTACATTTAGATGTTTGATCCATCTGCATTTATTTCAAAATAACAAGGGGAAGGAATGAGCCAGGCCTAATTTTCCATCTGAATAACCATGATGAAGAATAATCTATTATTTTCTCCAAGGATTAGAGATACTGTATCTTTAGCATAATTAAATATTAAAATGATGTAATTTTTGTCTCCAATTCTAGGCTGAGATGGGAAAGGCAAAATTACCCAAGTGACCTGCTATTCAACCCATGGGAAAATAGGTCCAGGGTTCTCAGACACAACAGCGCTTCTCACAAAGAAGAGCAAGGTCTTAGTAAGTAACTTAAATACTCCTTACAAAAGACAATTTTGACCTATACTTGTGTTCAAAGAAACAAAATATACTCCTATTTATAGTATTTTCTATGTCTTGGTTGGCTGGACCCAGAAGGCCAATACAGCAAGTGAAATCACTGATTGTACTTTTATCTCCATTAAGGAAATGCAAATGCCAGTACCTAAACTGCTCTCTCAAATATGGCTCAGGATTTTAGACAATTCAAAGTGCAAGCTAATTTATTCTCTACCCCACCCCTCTCTACACCACCCCAACAATACAAATGCCAACAGCTCCCACTGGGCTCAATGTTTCACTTTTAGCAAGTTGTAGTTATCAATCCGCTCATTATTAGATGTTACTAGCCTTTGAATTTTATAAACCATAAAAAAGTGAGCACACAAAACCAGGAACCTTTGCTGGCGTTCCTCTTTCATCTACTATTCTCCTCTTTCTC